ACCAGCCTGGGCTACAAAGTGAGCTCAAACCCAGCCTGAACTGCATAGCAAGACCCTGTCTCAAAAAGACAAAAAATTTAAAAAAAAAGAAAAACTTTTCTTTCTTTTCTTTTCTCTTTTTGAGACAGGGTCTTGCTATGTAGCCCAGGCTGGCCTGGAACTCACTATATAGCCCCAGCTGGCCTTGAACTCACAGTGATCCTCCTGCCTCAGCCTCCCGAGTGCTGGGATTACAGGCGTGCGCCACCACACCTGGCTCTATAAACTGTTTTGACTAATATGTTCGTGTGCGTCTCTGTTTTCCATCCGATCTGTGCTCTAATTTCTACCTGTCCCAGCCGGCCAAGGGCTCCTGTCGGCTCAGAAGAGAGCGGTTGCTCTGGGCCAGTGCTGGTACGAAAGGAACCACAGTTGGACTTCTTTCCTCCGATGCTCACACTCATTGGCAAACAATGCAGTGCACTCCTGTGGGAAGGGTGGCCCCCCCCACACCCGTTACTCTCCTTGAACAATACTGCGCCTAACAGTGCAGCTGCATGTATTCAGCAGAGCCCTGGCGCTGTTCTGCAGCGTTCAGGCGTGCACCGTCTGTGAAGAACAGTCCGTGGAGGGGAGGAAGAACTCTGATCTGTGGACGGGCCTCCTCCTCCTGTTGAGGGAGAGGTCTGTCAAAGCAGCACTTATTTCTCATGGCAGCCAGCCGTGGTGACGTCTGCCAAGGTCTATTAGAGACTTAAAGTGTAAGGGTGACCGTGTGGGTTATCTCCTCGGTCAGGGACAGCCTGTCACCCACTCACAGGAACGGAGGTTTGTAAACAACGTGTACGGCCCCATACATAGGGAGCACGTCAGGGGCTGGGGATTTAGCTCAGCGGCACAGCACCTGCCTGGCAAGCGCAAGGTCGTGAGTTCGATTCCTGGTACCAGAAAAAGAAACAAACAAAAAAAACAAAACATAGAGAGCCCGTCTTGGAACCCTGCTCGGAGGAGTCCGTTACAGATTCCTGGCGGAGGTTTGGGGGTCCGCTGTGAGCTCACACAGGGACCATTTCCCCGGTGCAGTCGTGAACCTGTTCCAAGGCCTCCCGAGACCGAGCGCACGCGGGGTCGGGCGTCTCCGCAGTGAGAGTCCTGAAGAAGGCCAGCGGTTGGTGCAGGAGGACACACCCCTGTGTGTCGCAAGCACCTCCCCAGCTAGCAGTGCGCGCCCCCAGGGAGCTTGTTAGCGTGCGGGCTCTGCCTAGGTCGGCCGGGCAGAGCCTGAGACCTGCATTTCTAACGGTTCCAGGGGTGCGGGCTTCATTACATTTGGAGACTTACCGCTCCGAGGAAGTGGGGTTCATCACATTTGGAGACTCACCGCACCGAGGAAGTGGGGTTCTCAGCCTCCCAGGGCTGCCCTAGAATCTGGCCCGTCCCTGAAACTCCTTAACTTTCGCTGCCTCGTGTTCTATCCTGGAGGGCCATCGTGCCTTCTCCCTGCCAGCAGCTGTTCCTGCCGTTTTACCAGCGCAGAATAGGACTGTTTCCCTTTTCCGGTCGTAAGATACTTGGGTGGGTGCGTGTGCGCACGCGCGTGTGTACGGGGTCTCAGTATGCAGTTCGGTCTGGCCGTGAACTCACCACGTATCCCAAGCTGGCTTTGAACTAGGAGTGATCCTCCTGCCTCAGTTTTCAAAGTGCTAGGATTACAGCTATGCGCCACCATGCTTGGTGTGATCATAAGGTTTTTGGGTTTTTTTTTTTTTTCCGGTACCGAGAATCAAACTCACGACCTTGTGCTTGCTGGGCAGGCACTGTGCCGCTGAGCTAAATCCCCAGCCCCGATCATAGGGTATTGGTGATGGGAAAAAACCCACAAGATTAGGAAGTAAAATATTGGAAACTACAAGCTGGGTATGGTAGTGCATGCCTGTAACCCTAGCACTTGGGAGGCCGAGGCAGGAGGATCGCTGTGAGGCCAGCCTGTGCTACACAGTGAGTTCAAGGACAGCTGAACTAGGTAATGAGAACTTGTATCAGCAAACAAAAAACAAAACAAACAAACAAAACCAGAACAAAAAAATTAGCAACTGCAGACACAAATTCACCGCATTTGAGATTGTTGGAACCAACAAGCACTCGACCTTTCACGCTGTTACAGCAAGGGCTTGCTTCTGAGCCACGGTGGTAGTTAGCAGTGTGATAGAAACGAGGCACAATTTTATCCCACAGTACGGATTTTTTGGGGGGGTGAAATGGTCTCGCTATGTAGTTCAGGCTGGCCTAGAACTCATGACAATCGTCCTGCCTCAGCCTCCCAAGTGCTGGCTGGGATCACTGGTGTGTGCCCTCACCCAGCCCTACAATACGATTTTATCCATGTACACAACTGGAATCCTTGAAGGACAATAACCAGAGCATCCTCTGCTGGTTCTCACTTGCAAAAGAACTCCCAGTCATACTACAAAAACGTAGGAATGGAAGACCACCTTGATGCCCTTGAGAAGTCCAGCTCCAAATACAAATTTCAGACAATGTCTTAAATGTCGGACAGCAAAGAGAAACAAAAAGACATCAAGTGCCACTAAGGAGCCTTCAGTTAAATGAAGGAAGTGCTGGCGTAGGTGTAAGTTTCATTTTTGTCTCCTGGGCCTCAAAAGCTAAGTGGTTGGCACTGTGATCCTTCTTTTGTTTTTATTTAGGACAAAAATGAACCACTGGGAGTGGGGCGTGGCCTTCCGTCAGGGGAGCTCCTGGGGGAGCTGGGGGCCCCATGGAAACGGCCTCAGGTCCCACTGTGCTGTGGCCCGGCCAGCGATGATCCTGCCGCTGTGCCAGCGTGCCAGAACACACCACTGCCAAAATGAAACCCTGCCTCTGCCCCTTCAAAACCCAGTGGCAAGGGCTGGGGATGAATCTTGGTGATAGAGCACTTTTAGGGAGTTTCTATCTTTCTCCAAGGTTTCCAAGCAGTGTGGCTGGAAGGGGACTGGAAGCTGACAGATCCCTCCGGGGGCGCCCACCTGAGTTACCACTGGTCCCTCTTCTCTTGGGACCTAATCAATGCTACTTACGAGTTCTTGTTAAAGATACATGAAAAGTCACCAGTGAAGGACCATGTACCAACTAAATAGACCTGAGAAAAATCCATTTGGCTTTGGTTCAAATTAGCCCCAAAATGTGCCGGGCGTGGTGGCGCACGCCTGTCATCCCAGCACTCGGGAGGTGAGGCAGGAGGATCGCTGTCAGGTCAAGGCCAGCCTGGGCTACATAGTGAGACCCTGTCTCAGGAAACCAAAAGGTGGAGGAGGGGGGACTGACTAGGGCCAGCACTTGGGGGAAATGGGAAGTGTTTGCTTTTCCGGGTGACGAAAGTGTAGTCAGTGGCAGTGCTGGTTGCACAGCCGTGAACACATTCACTCCCTAAATTATATATTTTAATTGGGTATATCCTGCCTCTAGAAAGCTGTTACAAGTATAAACATTTCACATGAGAATGTTTAAACAAACAGAGGTAACCATGTTACCTGGTGTTCAGATGTGGAAACTTTGTGAGGATTTCTGACTTGCAGTCTTGTTTTGTTTTGTTTTGAGCAGGGTCTCTCTATACAGTTCAGACTGGCCTTGAACTCACTATGTAGCCCAGGCTGGCCTCGAGCTTGTGGCGATCCTCCTGCCTCAGCCTCCCCAGTGCAGGGATTACACGCATGTGCTGCCACGCCCAGCCAGACTTGCAGTCTTGAAGTTGCTCCTCCGAAAAGTCGTCCCCTCTGCACTCCCCACTGCTCCACTTTGCCCCCTGAGAGCCTTTCTCTTAATCCTTGATCTCCAGTAACCCTTGAGCCTCTTGTTCTGTTTCACGGCACACATAGGTGGACAGTATCAAGATCTAGAATCCACTCACTGTGAAACAAAACCATGGCTTTGGAAAAGATCTTGGGCTCCTTGTCTTAGTTACTTTTCTCTCCTTGCTGGGACAAAACACCCGACACCCAGTTTGTGGAGGTTTCAGTCCATAACCATCTGGCCCCAAGGCAGGGTGGCAGGGCACAGGGGCAGCAGTCCAAGGAGGCAGAAGACAGCAAGCCAGCAAGAGCCCCAGCGGGCACAGCAAGCCTCTTTTCCTCCCCTGCATTGTAAGCAGGCTCTCCTGTGCCCCCAGGGAGGGTGTAGGTAGCACACACCACCTCCTGCCGTCTCTTGCACCTCTCAGGATGAGTACAGAGTGAGGACCCTGGCTCCCTGCTGAGTCACTTATTAGCCCAAACTTCTCAGTTGACACAGTGAGCAGCATCCTAGAGCTAAGGGCCCTCCTTTTCACCCTGGGATGTAGAAGCGCTGGGCTACTTAGTTAAGCTTCTGGGCTCCTCAGATTGACACAGTGTATCAACCCTAACACTCCTCCAGTCCCCACCTTCCCTACCCCACACTGCCAGAGCGAGATTCAGTCACTTCTTCTAAAGCCACAGAGAAAGAGAACGGGAGCCTTTAGGCGCAAAACATCTGAGGATCTGGGTGTTTATTTCTTCCTTTTTTTTGCTGATTTTTTTTTTTTTTTTTCTTTTTGAGACGGGGTCTCCCTATGCAGTTCATGTTGGCCTTGAGCTCATTTTGTAGCCAAGGCTCGTCTTGAACTTGCAATGATCCTCCTGCCTCAGCCTCCCGAGTGCTGGGATTACAGGTGTAACCACCACGCCTGGCCTGCTGAGATCTTTTATCGGTACATTTCAGACGTCCATGATAGTCACATCATCACAGGGAATCGTGCCTATCCATGATGGACCTTGCTTCTTGCATGTCTTCCTCTGGGTCCAAGACGAAGCGTGAGATTTGAGAACAGAATAATAAAATCTATCTTCCTTTGCAGTTTGTAGAACCAGGCTCCTTTATTTTATCACAGGGCTACTGTATGAAAACAGGAAAGTACCTGGAAGAAAGCAAGTTCGCAAGTCACTGACAAGCCTGTTCTCTTGCCGGGTTCCCAAACTCAGTCACTGAAATCTGTCCGTCCCTTCCAGCCTCCTCCCTGGCCTCCATCCAGTCCGGCCTCCATCCAGTCCAGCCCCGTGGAGGAATGTCAGGATGTCCCCCGCCAAGCCATCCTCCAGACAAGAAGTGGTTTCGCGTCCAGCAGCCTTGAAGACAGACAGGTACATAACTGCAGGACTTTTGTTCACTTCTGTGGCGCGTGTCTTCAGAGAAAGCTCTCCAGCAGTTTCAGGATTGCTCTGTAGTTTTCGTAACAGACCCTGGAAATCGTCAGAAGTCTATGCACAGTACTGGTCTGGGAAAACATGGGTGAGAACTTCTCAACAGAAATGAGTTTAACGATTACCTCCATACACACGCAGCAGCTTCAGGGAGTTGGTGAGGGCAGACTTGGCTGAATAACAGATCGCATCTAAGGAGTGAGCCTAGTTTTAAGCCAAAGGCGGACGCCTAAGTGCTGGCAGAGCCACTGAGATTCTGTTTGAGGCCAGTGACCAGTTAAGAGCACAGCATCAGCACGTCTTTACTCTGTAATAGTTTTACTTTAATACCTGTTAGAGGTGTTGTACTTTTAATGCCAGAGGGCCAAGAATTTCTCTTTGGGCAAAGTTTAAAATAATAGTGTGGTTCTCCTCTAGCCTAGTTTTCATAAATCCTAAAACAGAATTGTTATTTCTGAAGAAACATTTTCAGGCCAGGCATGGTGGCCCACGCCCGTAATCCTACACTTAGTTCAGGGCCAGCCTAAACTGCAGTGAAGCCCTGTCTCAAAAGACCAAAAAAATAAAAATTAAAAAAATAAATTCATAGTTTGGATTCAGTGTGTGTGTGTGTGTGTGTGTCTGGGATTGAACCCAGGGCTGTTCTACTACTGATCTACATTCCCAGCCCTCTTTTTCTTTCCTATTGCTTTGGAGACAAGGTCTTCCTAAGTGCCCACCACGCTGACCTCAGACTCACAGTCCTCCTGCCTCAGCCTCCTGAGTAGCTGGGAAGCTGAACTGAATGCAGGCTTTCGGAAAGAACATATCTTTTTTTTTTTTTTTTTTTTTTTGGTTTTTCTCCGGTACCAGGAACCGAACTCACGACCTTGCGCTTGCCAGGCAGGCTCTTTTGCCGCTGAGCTAAATCCCCAGCCCTGAATGCAGGCTTTCTATCTAACTTATACAAGATGTGTTTGTTCCTTACGCCTGCTAAAGAACTCTTTATATGACTCACGCCCTGCATGTGAAACATACCTCAAGTAAGTACAAGGATGCATCTTCTCAAGTAATGTGACCCGATTTCATGATAACACCCAATTAACTGTGTGTGTTGGGGGATGATTTGACAAACAATTCAACTGAGAAAAGCTGGCGGGAGTGGTTGCAAGGGTTAGTGGCAAGTTTCACTGTACACCTGCCTGTGCTTTGAGCTGTGGCACCTGGAGGACTCTGCGAGCAAGGCCCGGGCCTCACCCGCCTCTCCTCGGAACGGCCTGTAGGTGGGGCGGGAAGCACTTCCTGTGGAAACTGCGCTCCGCTCTGGGCTCCGGCTCCGGGACGCATTTCTAGCTGACAAGGACCTCAGGTGCTCTCAGCAGCAGCCAGGGGTCTCCAGAATGGCCGCTCCCACTCGGAGGCTCAGCTGTGGCTCCTCGCTGGTTGGCGCAGCGCTGGGACCCAGCCCCAGGCCTGCCTCGCGCCAGGTGAGCGCCATCGCACAGCTGCGCCCAGCCCCAGGGCGAGGCGTCCCCGCCTCCCAGGCGCGGGCACTAATCCCGCACCTCACACACACCTGTGAGACACCCGCTCTGCGAAGCGGCTGTCCCGGTGGCATTTGGGGTAGGAGCGTCATGAACCACAAAGCCGGAAAGCACCCTGTCTCTGAGGGTCAGGAGGAGACCCTGCGAGCTTTCCCAGCGCCGGTCTGCAACCCTGCCGGCTGGGTGTGTCGAGGGGCCCCCTGCTATCTCCTGGGTGCAGCCACCACCAGGAGGCCGCACCGGCCAGCCGCTCCCTAATGGATTTCCATTTCCTTCGATCTGACCGAGACAGGGCTAGCAATTAGTCCTAATCAGGCAGCAGGAGTTTCCTAAGGGGACTGCCTGCGGGCCTAATTGCTGGCAGCTGCGGGCCCTGGGCTGTCGGGGCCGGGAAGTTAACCCCCAGCATCCCGGCCGCAGCCTCTTGCCCTAGCAGACTTGGGCTCAACAGCGTGGTTTCGGAAAACTGTTATGAGAGATGGGTTTACTTCCACTTTAGAGACAGTCTGTGCTTAAGAGTAAGGTGCAGACCCTGCTGCATCAGTAAATAATTCAAGAAACTTTTTTCTTCAAGACAGGGTCTTACTATGTAGCCCAGGTTGGCCTCGAACTCACAGCCGTCCTCCTGCCTCAGCCTCCCGCGTGATGGGATTACAGGCATGTGCTGTCACGTCCAGCTGAAACCTTCGAAAGTTCTATTATGGAAATTCTCAAAAATTCACTACAGTGGCATGATACAAACTAGAGTGAGAAGCCCCACCCGCCAACTCTCCACAGTCTGCCGCTCTTTTGGGGTCGCTCCTCCTGTCTCCCCATTCCTCTCTCCTCTTCCGAGAGCGTCTGGGAGCAAACCCCGGATGCGTCATTTCGCGGCCCGTGCTTTAGCGTGTAACCCTGTGAGTGTGAGAGCTACCGGGGCACCCACATTTCCACGGGGCCTCCCAAGTGCCCCTTGGTTTGTTCGAGCCCCGATCTCAGTGAGACCCCGCGGGTGTCGGCTGTGACAGACGGCAAGGCGGTCACCTGTCCTGTTGGGTCTCCCCTTCCGGACGTGGGTCACACCCTCGCAGCCTTCTTCTGCGGCTCCTGGCTCCCAGCGCTGCTCGCCTACCGCTCGCGGCCCGCTGGCTTGCAAAGCGAGAGGCCGCTCGGCGCAGTGTGGGCGGCTTTCAGCCCAAAGGGCGCGGCACGCGCTCGGCAGAGGCCGCCTGGTGTGGCATCATGGTGGCGCCCACGTGGGAGGGCAAGATCGGGGGCCAGGCCGGGGCTGGCGCAAGGGAAGGCAGAGAACCAGCATGGCCGGGGTCACGTGGCCTCTGCTCACCCTTCCCATAAACCACCGGGTTCCATCTCTCAGAGCTCTGCCCTGATGGCTTGTCTGATTCCGACCCCCTCCATACCCGCATGCGCAGAGCGGGCTTCCACGTGTGTGTGTGTGTGTGTGGGGGTGAACCCAGGGCCTTGTGCACACTAGGTAAATGCTGTAGCATTGATCCACATCCCCCATGTCCCACATTCCTAACACCTCACCATGGGGATTAAACTTCAACAGGACTTTTGTAGGGAACAAACTGTACTAACCATAGCAATTGTACTTAACCATAAAACCCAGAAGTTTTATAGAGTTAGATTTGTTTTTAAGAATATTTTATAAGCCAGCCATGATATAAAACGTCTGTAATTCTAGCTCTCAGGAGGCTGAGGCGGGAGGGTCATGAGTTTAAGATCAGCCCAAGCTACTGATACATAGAGATCCAGGCCAGCCTGACTGCAGAGTGAGACTCTGTGTCGGGGGTGGGGTTGGGGGGTAATATTTAGAGGTGGTTCTGTGAACTTTCCTTTGTTTCTGTACAGGAAACACAAATGTCTGTCGGAGTTTAGTGGTGTTAAAGCCAATTAGGGCCACTCTGGAGGCTGAAGCAGGAGGATCACTGCAAGTTTTAGGTCAGCCTGAGCTACAAAGTGAGTTCAAGGCCAACCTGAACTACACAGTGAAACCTTGTCTCAAAAAGACCCCCCAAAAAACAAAAAGCAATAAAAACACCTTAAATAGAGAGTTCAAATCTCACCAGTCAATTCATCTACTGTAAATTTCGCTGTGAACATTTCTCGGTATTGCTAGCAGCCACTGAGAATCATTGCTGAGAGCGGTGGTGGTCTGAGGTTTCACCCCCTGGATATACTGTAGCTATGACTTCGTTTGTAACCACCCTCCTGGGGTAGAAACGGCAGGACGGACACTTGATTCCTTCCCTTTATTTAGTGGGATTGAGGCGACCCTCTGGCCATCTCTAAGTGCAACTGTGAAAGCGCACGTGGAGGTTTGTGTCCCACGTGTCTGCATGTGTTACAGCCCTGCTTTCAAACGCTGAAACAGACCCAAGCGCAGCCTTCTCAAACTGGTCCCGCACTCCTCGCCCGATTGGTCTGCGAAATTCTTCTGCCCCAGGCCGGCGTAATGGTTTCCGGGGAGCCCTGGTCCTTTAGTGGAACCGCATATTGCAGGAGCTCCTCCCTAGTGGAGTGTCACTGCTTCAAGCCCAGCACGTGCGCAGACAGACAGTGTTTTCTGAGACAGGGTTTCAAGGGGTACTTCAGGCTGGCCTCGAGCTCACAGTGCTCCTCCCGCCTCAGCCTCCCCAGTGCTGGATTACGGGGCTGTGCCCCCACTTCCAGAGAGACGTGGTGAATTGTGTTAAAGTCAGGTTTGTGTTACAGTTGTCCCCTAGGCTCCTCAGCACATGGCTTTCACCTCCTCACCCAGACACCCGGATCTGAGGCCACCCACGTCCCTTGTGTGCACTGTGCAGGGTTTGCTGGGAACCTGCCCGCACCCACCTGCGCCCTCGGCCCACCCGCGCGCTCTCGGGCGTCTCCGGGCTCCCTAACGGCCCGCACACAGCGAGGGCCGCGGAAATGCTCCGGTGCGCGGCGTGCGGAAGAATAACGCCAGACGCGCGCTGTTGAGGACGGCGCAGTCCTC